GGAACAAAAGTAATGGAAAGACCTTGATACATCTTTGATGGCAAAGGAAGTTTAGAGTGAGGTGGAGATCTAAGTTCTTGAGTTTTTTCTTTTGGCTGGAGAGACCTTTAACGATATAGTTCCACTTATCACAGGAGGCTGAAAGAAGAGTCGAAAGCAATCTATGCTTCCTCATGGAAATTAAAACTAGGGCCAGATTTCTGTTTTATCTCACTAAGAAAACTGCTTAGCAGAGAATTGTTTCCTTTACTTTGTGGGTGTTTCCATATTATTAACTTTACTGGAAATCTCACTTACATGTACACAACCTATACCAACCCCTTGCAAAATAAAATTCTCTTTGGAGCATAGGCTAACTAGCCGATTCTTCTTTTGTGACTAGCCATATGAATCGGTACATTTGGCCCCGTCACAAAGTGGTTCAATTGAATTACTGCCGTAAATCCTTTGCCCACAACCTGAGTTTGATCACAATGGATTCAGTATCCAGCTCAAGGCGGACTCTTCCATCTCTCTGACATTGGTAAAATGAGCCCCCAGCTCACTAGGAGGCAAAGTGTTCCATGCAAAATTACATTGCAAGCCACACAAAGAGTGCTCTAGCACTGTATACAAGTTCAAACAACAACAATAACAACAATGATTTTTCAGTTAAAGCTAATACACTCCAATGATAGCATGGACAAGATGTGGTCTGTTATTTACATTTATATTCCATCTTTCCACTACTACGTAGTCTCCAGGTAACTTACAATAATTATAAATCCATAAAAACAAGTAAAAGCAGATTAAACCATAGAAATCCTTTGCAGTTAAGCTTACATTTAGGATCATCACATAAAATAAAACAATATCATAATCCAATTTAGAAAGTTGCAAGAGTGGAAACGCATTGCTACTCCAAGGGGAGTTCCTTTCACATTCTGAGAATCCACCCAGGAGAAGCTCCTTATTCATGGACCTGTCAAGTGGAGATGTTGTTGCATTGAAATGCCCATCATCTTTCACTCTTGTCTATGCTGGCAAACTGAGTTGCAAACTGATAACATCTGGAAGGCCACGTGTTCTCCAACTCTGCATTAACTATAGGAAAAGACACACTGTTTTAATATTTTAGCCACCTCAGGACTAGTTCTTCAATATATTTCTGTTATCCAATGAACTGATGTACCGAGTGATAACAGGATGCTTCAGTCGCATTTAGTAGGACATTTTGCTGCCTTGGGAGAGCAACAAATGGCTTCCTTATTTCTGCATAGTCAAGGGGCATAGCACTCCAAGGCAGCCAAATTATTTTGGCATTGGAAGCACAAGCACCTCTCTGCTCCTGACCCTAAAAATAAGGTGAAAGTATAATGTCCTGTTGATAGTTTATGCTTGCATAAGTTAAAATGCGTAATTCACTCCACTAACTGCCAGTTGTATTACTAAGTGCATGCTTGTTTTGCAACTGGGTGCACAATTTTTATTAGTGGCCATGCATCATCATAATCTTAGAACTGCTGAGCAGGAAGGAACCCTATGGATCATTGAGTCCAGCCACTGTCAAGGACGCATGATGGGGAACTGGACTCCCAACCTCTGGTTCCATATCCAGATGCCTAAACCACTGAGCTATCCAGCAGTTCATCATGAACTCTACAATTTAACTTTATAATGTAATAATTAGGGATGGGGGTATTCATATTCATATATGCATACCCCTAACACAGGTGGAGCTAATGAGGGTCCGGCCCCACTTACCAATGCACTAATGTCACAGGATCCATGCTCCTGTCCTATCACGCCGGAGATCACGATTGCCGAGCCACTCCTGGCAGGAAGCAGGACGACAAGCCTCTCAGCCAGATCAATGAGTGGCTCGGCAATCACAATCTCCGGCGCGATAGGACGGGAATACAGACCCCGCGGCATTAGTGCATTGGTGAGTGGACCATCTGGCCCCATGGGGCTGGACTGTTATTGTCTCCAATTGTGTGGGGGTATTCATATTCATATACAATACCACCATCTGTAATAATAATATTTGCCTGCTGTCAGTTTCAACATATGGCAACCACTTCCAGGGTTTTCTAGGTATACAATACTGAGAAGCAGCTTACCACTCCCTTCTTCTGGGGGCACCCTAGGACTGTGCAGCCTGCCCATAGCTACCCAGGCTGGCTCTACTCATAGCAGGCACAGTGGGGAATCAAACTCTCAACGTCTGGCTCTGCTAAACTTCTTAGCTATCCAGCCAGACACAATTTAACTTAGGCTAGGCTAGGCATCCTTCAGTCTCGAGAGACTATGGTAACATGTTCTGTATGGAGGAACAACGTCTAGTGTGGCTAAGAAGACCAATTCGAGAGTGACAATCCCTTCCACACTGAAGACAAATCCAATCTGTTCCCTGTCCAGCTCCCTGATTTTGCTGCTTTTGTGACTGCCTTTTTGCCTCGGCCTGCTGGACAAGTGTCTCTTCAAATTGGGAGAAGCCGTGATGCAACGCCTGCCTCCAGGCTGAACGCTCAGATGTCAGGGTTTCCCATCTGTTGAGGTCCATTCCGAAGGCCTTCAGATCCTGCTTGCAGATGTCCTTGTATTGCAGCTGTGGTCTCCCTCTGGGGCGATTTCCCTGCACTAATTCTCCATACAGGAGATCTTTTGGAATCCAACCATCAGCCATTCTCACAACATGCCCATGCCAACGTAGATGTTGTTACACAAACATTACTTACACACATTATTTATTTACACACACATATAAATCATCAACAGAAATCTGGCCATTAAAAAGCTAACAGTTTGCTGCCATATCATGATGATCATATCAGCTGCATGCAGAGGTCATCATAATCTGCCTAATAGTAAGACCAAACACAGAATATGTTTTAGGTGTGACTGGATAGCATGCTGGGCTGTAATGTTTCAGGATGGGGAGTGGGCATAAGGGAGGGTAATATTACAATACTCAAGAATTTCTGTAACGGCTGTACAAAACAGAATAAAATAAAATTCTACCCTATTTTCCTAACAGAAACAAGTCTTTTGAAAATTGCCTGGCACTTTGATGCTGCTAAGGCTATCAGCAGTAAGAGGAAGACATCAAGCTTGGCTCAAAATTGTTGCAGAATTTAGAATATAAAAAGCTGCAGAAGTATTGTTCTGTTCAAATAAAAAAACCTTTCTTTCCTTAGCACTTCATTCTGCTACAAACATTCCCATCTGCTTCCAGCTTTTAAAAAAATTGATAAGTAACTAACCGGAGGTGCTAGCAGCACCAGCTATTGGGCCAAGGAACAATTAAAAAGAGTAAATGACAGAAGTCTGATACCAGCCATAGTATTCGGAAGAATGAGGTGGCTACTTCAGGCAGCAGGTGCTGGGTTACAGGAGAGAGCAGCAAGGCATCCCCAAGTATGTTTGATAGAAAGGAGTCCTCTCTCAGAAGTGCTGCAGTGCAGAAAGCGCCAACCAGCATTCTAGTCTTTTATATGTGGACTGAGGGCGCATCTCTTTGTGCCTTTCATCCTTTGCCTGAAGCAGAAAAATGTCTTGGGATGGCTCTGCAGTATTCACATGTCCATTCCACTACATTATAGGAATTTATATTCCTTGTGCGAAGGGGAGCTTTGGGCAATTTATTTGATAACAGAAAGGTACTGTAGTTGTTTCAGAGGCAATTCTGATGCAGAAAGAGAAGGAAATGGAGGCAAATCATTCAGGGTAGTATTATTCCATCAATGGGACGGAAGCATCACGGGACAAAAAGGTTTTGCTGGGTGCCAAACCAGATATTTTCAAGGCACAGAATAACGGTTGTTGTGGGTTTTTCGGGCTCTTTGGCCGTGTTCTGAAGGTAGTTTTTCCTAACGTTTCTCCAGTCTCTGTGGCTGGCATCTTCAGAGGACAGCAAACTGAATAACGTTGGGGGGATATGAAAGATAAATGTTGGCTGATTTACTCTTGTGTAAAGAAAATGTAAAATTCCTATATGTTTGTTCAGGGGAAAACTGATTCTATCTTAACCTCTGGCAGGCACACCGGGTCTTCTTTGTACAGTACAGTGAAGACTTCAGGATGGTTGCTGAGATGATTGCTTCACGGGCTATTCGCCGTCGACCACCTACTGACAGAGAACAAGAGCAGGCGAGACTGTCAGGGACCACGAAAAAAATAATAATCGTGATGCAGAAGGGCGAGCTTTCGCACATCAGGCGTCACGACCATCCACTTCGTCAGTCGTGTACCCGAGTGAAGAACAACAAAGGTCTTCAGAGGACTTAAAACTACTCTTGAGAGAAAAGTTCCTTTTCAGACGAAGGGAGGAGGAGGAGGGAGGGAGGGAGAGATCGGGACTCGGGGAGGCGCGAGATGGCGCGTCCACCAGGCGTCGCTAGGAAGCGGCGTCCCGGGTCCCCCCCAAAAAGGAGGCCGAGCCAACTCCTTTCTCGTTGAAATTAAATGGCGTTGCTGTGTGAATTAAACTGGTGCTCCGATGGAAGGGCGCGGGAAAAAGAAGACCCTCCCTTCCTTCAAAGGCCCTGGGCAGCGAGGGAACAGAAAGGGAACCCCCCCCCCAAAAAAAGCACATGAAACGCCCCCTTCGAGGGCGACGAGCATCACCAACGGCCGAATTTCCTCCTCGCGACCGCGGCGCTGCCGCCCCCCCCCGGAAGGCCTCTCCCACCTCCTCCTCCTCCTCTTCCTCGCCTCCCCCTTCTTCACGTGACGGCCCACGTGGGGGGGGGCCGGGCCCTTCCGCGCGCAAGGGCCTGGGCCACCCGGACACCTTGCTT